GTGCCTGTAAATCACGGTGTCAACATGAAATGCATCTATTCTGAAATACATCTATTCTCAACATCCTTGAGTTGTGTAACAGAGGATGTTGCATTTTTTGCATTTCAGTGCTTCTATCTTTAGAAGCACCAGAGAATCACATGTCTCATGTTCTTTATTTGGGTTTTGCTCATTTTGTTTAATTTCTTACATCATAAAGGATTTGCCTAACTGCATCTTCTGCTTGGAAACAAAGAAAAGACAGCTGTAGGAACTAACTGGTAATTCTTGGGAAGAGCTGACCAGCAGCTCATGCAGAAAGAGTGTGCTGAATATAGAGCATTCTTTAATGGGTTGTAAGAATCCAAATGATGGCAAATAACACCATGCAGGGCTAGGGGTTGGGAAAATGTATCTGGAAACACCCAGCTCCGTGGGCAGTGACAGTGATGGAAAGCACAGTGCTGTGCCAGCACGGAAACCTTCCCAGCATTGGCCAAATATATGGGTAGGAAAAAGACATTAAAGCAAGAGTGACATTAGGGAGGGGGAGTTAGGAATTAGAATAAAAGACCCTTTTGTCTGGTTAATCTGTGCCATGGCAAAAAGCAGTGTCTGGGTTAAATCTGCTCCGTACATTGGCACTGCAAGTTTTTGAAGATGGTCTGAGGCAGCTGCAGCCAGTTGTATTTGCACAGATAAGCTGGGACAAGTGAATAGACACATAAAATCTGGCTAGATTTATCTTTAAAGCATTTTCAAGTAGGTAATTGAAAATTATCCAAGCCACCTTCCTGATTTCTTGCGTATATTGCAATAATTTCCCAGTGAATAGAAAGCACTTGGAAAGCATACAAAGGGTTTGTGAGTGCTGAGCTCTACTATTTGGAATTTATGTAATTATAAATATGTCTTTGCTCGTGTGATAACTTGAAGTCACCTTCTGCTGCTCTCTTCCATGTTTCAGACTCCAGTAGGGTTAATCATGTAAAAGCAGGTCTCTGACATGAGGAGTGGGTCAGGATATTCCTATTGCCCTCCATTCCTAGGAAGTTCCTCTCTCATCCTCTGTCTGTCCCTGCAGCACTGGTGGTGAGCACAGCATGGTCAGCTGGCTGCTCTCTGGGTGTGTTTCTCATTCCTGAAACTTTTCCATGTGTGCAGGACCATGCTGTTCCCACAGGAATTGCTTACCAAAGGCTCCAGTCTGGTCCTCGTGCCAGTCCCACAATAGCAGCATCCTCTGTATTGCTGATCCAAAGGGATGCTTTTAAAAACTGGGCTAAAAATATAAGGTTTACACTTGGTGTGAGCTGGGTTTACACTTGGTTTGCACTTACAATATAAGCTTTACACTTGGTGTGAGCTGGGTGAAGTTCCCCAGCTGCCAGGAAATCAGTTCAGCGTTACTCAGAACAACTCACTCATCCCATTCTTGCTTTTATCTCCCTTGCACTGAACCAGTGCCCTAAGGACAAGCCCTGTTCACAGGACTGGATTTATCTCACTTTTGGGAGGCTTCCCCACTCCTAAAGCAGCCAGTGGATTGCACTTGATCCATATGGTGTTTATCAGCCATGACAGGAGTGCTGCTAATCCTCTGAAGCCAAACTCTCTGAGGAAAATTCAGTGTGTGTTACCATGAGAAGCTAAATGGACAAACCCAGATGAATTTATCCCTTGCTGCAGTAATATGAGCTTGGCACTTGGATGTGGACTTTCCCAGCTTCTAAGTACTTGATCAGTAAGTCCAGGCTCACTCACACATCGAGGAAAATAAAAATTGAGGAGACCCAGAGGAAAATAAAAGAGACCCATCACAGCCACCAAGCATTGCCTGGGGCTGCTTCTCTCCTGTTTGCAGTACACATCCTGATCATTTTTTTTCCCCTTACCCCTGTTCATTAGGAAATATCTCCATGTATGCAATAGAATTGAAAAAAATGCTAAGTCTACTCATAAACTGTGCTCAGCTGTGGAAAGCTGAAGTTATGTATAGATGTTATTTGCCACAATAATACCATATAAAAGTCAAAAAAGCATAATGTGAAAGGGAAGATTAACTATTATTGGGCATGTTTCAGCAAATGAGATTATTTTACATGTCAGTTATGAGTTAATTTGCAACATTAATCTCATCGCAGTCCTTGGCAGAAATACAAAATGTTTTTAATTGGTCCTGTGACTTTTTAAATGATCACCTGATGAAAAGCTTGTAAGTTTTACTGTTGATTTAATACTAAATATTATGGTGGTGGGGGGAAAGTCTTTACAGATTTCATCAGGAAATACAAATCATATGCTTTCATTGCCTTGCTCCTTCTGCTGTGTTGACTCGATAATGTTGGCACTTTGGAACCAGCTGTACAGTGGGAAAAAAAAGTAGAAATCTTGCAGCAAAATGAAGAAATCTATGGCAGAGAGATAATAGCATTGGGACTGATTCAGTGTAAGCAAGAAATCACCCGCTGAGTCATTAAAAACAGAGATGAATGGGAGGCAGTAAATGGATGGCTCAGAAGAATATGAATGATTAGGAAGTGCATGAAGTTGCTTGGATTTTTTCCCCCTGAAGATTATATTTTGTCCTCTGAAGTGGCATATGGCTCCTGTGAAAGCTGATACCCACAGTGAACGTGTCACAGGCAGTTTATAAATACTTCAAGAGATGCCAAGCAGCTCGGGAGGCAGCACAGAGCAGGAGTGGGCTCCCTGCCCACAGCACCTGGGCACGAGTCATTAGCCCAGGCCCACTGGGACGTGTACAGGAGGGAGGTGTTGGGGCTGAGAAGGCTTCTGGGTGTGGGGACACATCTGCTTCTTGGAGGAAAGGTTGGATGCTTTCTTGGAAATATTTCCCCCTGTTTGCTGTTAACTCGCACTAACAGTGGCAGGAGTTGAAGAGGGGATGATTGTGGTGACCTGGGTCTGATGGCCCAGGCTGCTGCCACCAAGGAAATAAAACCTTTGATGAAGAGCTGTAATCTCTTTCCTGACTCATGAAATACTAAAATATCGATATAAATTCATGAGGTATCAAAGGAGAGATCCCAGTGTTTAAAGGAGTGTTTCCTCCAGGGTGAAGCTGGGCCAGTTGGGGAGCTCAGGGATCCTGCTTGCATATCAGGTAATAGCAGAGATGTGCTTTTTCTGTCTGCTGAAATCAGTGAGAGCAAAATCAATCCCCAGCCAAGAAACCTTCTTTACAAGTGCAGTCATGTGTAACATCAGACATGAGGCTGATACAAGTCTGATAGGAGGAGGGTGCAGCTGCAGCCCTGGCTGCTGTGCAAGGAGGCGTTTGATTTACATGAGTACGAACCATTCCGCCCCTTAGAGCCTGATTCAGCGCCTCATAATCACTCCTGACTTTAACAGAGTGCTAAAGCAGGCTGATTTATTGCTTCCAATACTGCATCCAAAGATGAGACACAGATTTAGATCTGTAAGAGTCATAAGAACACTGGAGAGGCAAAAAAAGTGGAAAAAATAGAGCCTTGCACCAAGGCATCATTTTTTTTGTGCCAACACATTACAACAGTCTGTCTCTGCAGCAAAATTTCAACCCCTGCAGTCAGTTTTTGCATTTACACTTTTCAGATCACAGTTACCTGCTGTACTCAGCCAGCTAAGGTAGAAGTTACCTGGAGGAGTCCAGTGTGGAGCTGCAAAGCAGTCCCCTCCTGCCCACCAGGCTCAACCTGCCCTGCCCTTTCATCAAATCTGTGCTGGAATCTGGACCTTGAAATAGGAAATAGTCCATGAACAGTACTCCCCAGACAGGGCAATTAAGATAAAGTTATTTGCAAGTGAAAGCTGGACCTCATTTGTTTAACCTACTTTAAGGACCAGACGTGTTGTAGCTGTTGTAGTGCTCCTGACATGAATGTTAAAATTTGGTAGCACATGTGGGCTGTCCCCTGCCCTTCTGGGGTAGGAGCAGCACCTTGGTGGTGCTCTGAGCATCACTTTCTGCCAAGTCCTGCCCCAGTGCCTGCGAGACCTGCTGGTGCAGAGAAGCACATCTATTTAGCAAATGTCAATAATTTTTTTACAGTGACACACAGGTAAGCATTAAAGTCTCCACCAAAGGCTGCAATATTCCCAGGTTACAGTCATCTGAACACAGTTCATTTTATCAGGGAAAAAATGCCCTTTTCCCCTCTTCTATGCTGATGAGTGTCATCTCAGGGGGAGCATTTTTGTGGAAACCTCTTGAACAGATATTGGCAAAATTATTGAGAAATACAGGATGCTTTGAGGATGCTCTCTAATTAAAAAGTTCTTGCTTAGCTTTTTTTTTTTTTTCATATTTAAGACCAGTATTCAAGGGAGAACCTTATTTTCATCATTTATCATTGAGCCAAGGCATTTAAGGAAAAATACTCTTGGTTGCTGGCAGGGTCAGCTGGTGCAATGCACAGGAACAGGGTGAAAGAAGGCAGTCTGCATTGGTAATCAGGTTAGAGTCAGCTGCCTCTGCCCTCCAGCCTGCTCTGAAATGGCATGTAGTCTAATTAGTTATAGAAAGGATTTTACTGAATAGTTGTAAACAGATCTGAGGGCTTGGAATAAAATCAATCTGACTGTGGAAACTTTTCAGGATAATTATAAACTGTTATTGGCAGAGTGTGAAAGAGAGACCAAAGGACTTGTAGCAGTGGGAATCTTGTAGCTGTGTGGGCTGTTCTCTGCAGGGGGAAAAAGGGGGATGGAGGCTGTGGGGGTTTCACCAGGTCTTTATCAGGGGAGGGATAAGGGGCTTCAGTCAATGGAAACACTGCCTTAGAGTTGCTTTTCTTTAAGGCTCTTGAATGTTTTGTTCTTTTCTGTAATGTTGGTGATGCCCTGACACCTGAGGTACCAACACATCCCATGGTGGAGGGCACGTGACCAGGTGAACTGCACAGCGAAATGCTTATACTAACTAAAAAATAAAAAAAAAAAAAAGGGAAAAAATAATATTTGCGGGGTTTGAGCATGGTTTCATATAAAGGCGTGTAAAAATTCTCTTTGCACAGATCAGAATGGTCTTGGCTCAGACTTTCACCATCTCCCTACTGAAGTAAGTGCTGAAAGTTGCATCTTCTGGACAGGCTGGTCCTCGCTGCCCCACAAAGCCACCCTGGCCACCAGCCCACCTCAGTCTGCCGCTGGACTCCGCATTCCCGTTCATGGCAATGCCCCAGAACTCCACCAGAGAAAATGGCTTTTGTTTCACTCAGCCCCTCGACTTCTCCTGCCCGTGCCCTCGTCCCGGCGAGGCCGGCCGGGATGCAGCGAGCAGGGTGGATGGCTGCAGCACCCCCCTGAGCAATGGCACCGCATCCTCGGGGGCTCCCAGCCCCTCGGGCTCCTGTGCCCAGCCCCTCTGCACGGCCCAGGAGGAGACGCCGCTCGAGGAGGGGATCAAATACGTGTCTGCTGATGGAGAGGAACTGGCCTGCGGCTGGGGTGGCTTCACCCCCGGCTGCTTGCAGCTCTGCAACACATCCAAAGGGGTCTTGTTCTTCCTCTGCGTGGCCTCCTTCCTGCAGGGCATGACCGTCAACGGCTTCATCAACACCGTCATCACCTCCATCGAGCGCCGCTTTGACCTGCGCAGTTACCAGAGCGGGCTGATCGCCAGCTCCTACGACATCGCGGCCTGCGTCTGCCTGACCTTCGTCAGCTACTTCGGGGGCAATGGCCACAAGCCCCGCTGGCTGGGCTGGGGCGTGCTGCTCATGGGCTTGGGCTCCCTGCTCTTCGCCCTGCCCCACTTCACCACGGGGCGCTACGAGGCGCGCTCGGCCGCCCAGGTGGGCGTCTGCGGGGGGAACCAGAGCCTGGCCTGCTCCCAGGCTGCCTCCAGCCTCTCTGGCTACAGGTTTGTCTTCATGCTGGGGCAGTTCCTGCACGGGATGGGAGCCACGCCGCTCTACACGCTCGGCGTCACCTACTTAGATGAAAACGTCAAGACCAACTACTCCCCCGTGTACATTGGTGAGTGGGGCTGGGGACAGCTCCAGCCCTTATCTGCAGGGTGATGGGAGGGAGAGGTCGTGGTCCCCAGCCCAAACTGGGAGCACCTCGCCCGACACTGCTCAGCCTCTTGTTCCTGTTGAGGGGCGAGGTGGAACTCAGAGGGATGTGGCAGCTGTTGGGGAGGTTTTGGTTATTTACCAGGAGGAAAAGTGTGAGCTCGGCTGGGTGTTTTTTCCTCCCGGAGTGCCTCCTGTTCCTGGTGTGGGGCCAGCCCATGTGGCATTAGCATCACTGGCAGACAGCCGTGAGGCCATAGCCCCATCTGTGCAAGGGGGCATAGAATCACAGCTTGATTTGGGCAAAAGGACCTTTAAAGGTCACCTAGTCCAATGAGAAGGGACACCCTCAACTTGATCAGGGAGCTCAGAGACCCATCCAGGCTGACCTTGAATGTGCCAAGGGATGGAACATCCGCCACTGGTTTGGGCAGCCTGTGCCAGTGTTTTATCACCATAATTTATATCTAATCTAAATCTTTAGATCATCATCCCTTCAGGCCTCAGCACAGCAGGGATGGTCATTGGGCTGCTCAGCTACTGCTGGTGCACAGCACAGCCAAGAGAACAGGCTCAGCTCACTCCCCTGTATCACTGGCCACTCAGCAGCTGCCAAACACTTACAGTCCTGTTGGTGAAAGTGCCAAAAGGGTGATCCTTTAGCAATTTCAAAATGTGTCAGTCTGCCCACACTTAGCAGAAGGCTGTGTAGTGTGGGAAGGAGATCACAAGGAGATCATCAGCAAGTTCATCCTTCCATGTTCCATGGTTTAAACAGCAAACTGAAATAAGTGCCACTGGTGCTGTATTTAGTGTAGATATTTTATGTTGTCAGTGGGGAGAGAATCCTGCTGCTCATTACTGTGGCAATAATGTGGCAGTGGGATCAGCTGCATCCCTGCTGAATATGGTTTAATTCTGAACCAATTTTTCCTGCCCCACATTATAAAACTTCCCAGGTTGGATGAAAAAACTTCCCTGGAATAGAAGCATGAGAGGAAAACTTGTTGGAACAATCTGGGTTTGTGTCTTGGTGGTTTAGGGGGAGGGACACAAGGCAGCCAGAGGCTGAGCATCCTGCATCCAGGAGGGAATTGGGCTGGGGATCCCTGGCTGACGTTGTCTAACACGACTTGTTTTCCCTTTCAGCTGTTTTCTACACTGCTGCAATCCTTGGGCCTGCAGCGGGTTATCTGGTAGGAGGAATGTTTCTAAATATTTATACTGAAATTGGCAGAGAGTAAGTCGTCAAAAAAAAAAAATCTTGTTCCTTTCCCTTTCTGCTCTGTGTTTCCTTTGGGGTAGAAAAAAATAATGCCAATGATCTGGAGCAATGAGCTGGTGGCTGGGTGGAAGTGTGCCTGGGGTGTTGGGTGGTGTGTCTGCAGGCAGGGAGGCTGGAAGGGTGGTTTGGATTAGCGCTGCTGCTGAAGGGAAATTGCTGACAAACCTGTCAGCTTAAATCCTTCCTCACGCTGCACTGCCTGTGCTAATGAGGCTGCGAGCAGCAGGTGAATTTTTTGAATGAGTTCCCTGATGAGGTAGTGCTCCCAGCAGTGCTGCTCGCCCTCCCGGTCATCCCACCAGGATGCTCAGTCCCTCTTTGCTTTGTAATATTTGTGATTTGTTCGTTCTTTACAGGCTCTTTGGTAGATCACAGAATCACAGAATGCTTTGGGTTGGAAGGGACTTTAATGACCATCTGGTTCCAACCCCTCTGCCTTAGGCAGGGACACCATTTACTAGACCAGATAAATGGATTAAAAAGGGGGAATGGGTTTGCAGGGGAAGAAATGAGTTATTTCCACCGGTTTTCTTGCAAAGGGTGTTTTTGGGGTGGAGCAACCTCTTTGGCAACCCTCAAAGCAGAGCTGAAAAGCAGCAGTGAGGTGAATGTGCAAACCTGAGATGAAATGAGACTGAAATGGTGTGGTTTCCTGGGCTTATGTTGTGCTCTGGTGAGGCAGTGCTGTGAGGGATGGTGGGCATGGCATCTCCACCAGATCACTCAGTGTCCTTTGCTGTCACCCTATGACCCCCCAGCCCTGCCAGCCTCAGGGAGAGGCCCACGGAGCTGCCCCGCTCCATCTCCAACCATCTCCTCTCTCCCTTGTGTCCCTTTGCTTCGCTCCCCACAGGACCGACATGGCCCCCGAGAACACGCTGTGGGTGGGGGCATGGTGGATCGGCTTCCTGGGCGCCGGGGCTGCCTCCCTCCTCATCTCCATCCCCATCCTGGGCTACCCCCAGCGCCTCCCAGGTACGGGGCTCCTCCTGGGCTCGGGCTTTGGGGCTGGGACTGAC